TCTCTCTCTCTCTCTCTCTCTCTCTCTCTCTCTCTCTCTCTCTCTCTCACACACACACACACACACACACACACACACACACACACACACAAATAATGATTAAAAAAACAAAAACAAAAACACATGCATATCTGCATACATGTACAAATGTGTCTATACATCTATACAATCGTTGACATTTATATCTGTAAATATATGTTAATACATGCTAATGTATACATAAGTATTTGCATACACACAGACATACACATTTGCTCTTTTTCAACTACAACAACCCTTGAAGGACACTGATAATAAGTAGGTATTTCTTGGCACAAGAGAGAAGATGAGCATGTCTTTTCACCTACTCCCTGTCTGTGTGGTCACCAATCACCCACTGGAATGGAGACAGAAATTCAAACAGGAGAAAGGAAGGCAGCCAGGGTAGCGGGGAGGGTTGCTGGCACTCACCAAGGAGCATAGGAAGCCGCGATGAAGAAGTAAATGACCATCCGGTCGATCATGTGCAGGCAGTGTTCTACCATCCTAGGGTGGGTAGAGGAGGTGGCAGGTCATAACCACTGTGTCCCAGGGAGGTGCGGGAGTGCCCACAGCACTGCCTAGGGACAGCCTTGCCTTCCCCAGTGGAAGAGAGACTGAGAGACAGAGTTGAGAGAGGTGCCCACCCCACCCTGGAGACACCCCCTCCAGCCTGAGTCTCTCCACCTGTAAGGGACCAGAGCACAGTTTTCCAGGCTGCCTGCCATGTTGGGGGTTTATGAAAGTGCCTCAGGACCCCATTACGGTGAATGCTGGCATACTCCTGACTATGTGTGTACAGAGTGTATGCCCATGTGCCCTTCCTGTGGGTTGGGTGGAGGGTACCTGAGGTGGCTCTTCTTCCAGGAGACTGTGTGGAAAATGGTGGATACTACAAAGAGGCCACAGAGGCCAAGGCCGTAGATCCAGGCAGATATGGTTTCCCAGTCATCGTCCGACAGGAAGTAGAGGTTGGAGCTGCCAAGGATGCTGGGAATGATCCAGAACTAGAGTGAGAGAAGACAGAACAGGGCCAGCCTTTTTAAAAATAGATACATTTTCTGAAGATACGTTTTATTTTTAATTTTGTGTATATATGTGGGGTGGGGCTGGGAGTTACATTATGAATGCAAGAGTCCAAAGAGGCCAGAAGAGGAAACTGGATCCCTAGGCGCTGGACTTTGTGATGATTTTAAGATAGCTGGCTGTCTTAAACATGGTCTTAAATATCACCCGTCACGTGGGTGCTGGGAAACAAATTCAGACCGTCTACAAGAGCAGTGCATGGTCTCAACTGCTGAAGCATCTCTCCACCTGCAAGGACCAGCCCTTTTGCGGGTTGCATGGGGGAGTATGTGATGGGGAGCACAGCAGGCTTTTTATGTGACTTACGGCACTGGGTTACACTTTCCTGCACGTGCATGTGAAGGCCAAAGATCAACCGCAGGCATCATTCCTCAGGCACTGTTCACCCCTCTTGTTTGTCTATTGGAAACATTTTTGTTAACTGAGTGTGTGTGTGTGTGTGTGTGTGTGTGTGTGTGTGTGTGTGTGTGCGCACACACACAAGAGTGGACTATTGGAGATGAGAGATAGGCAGTTCTCTTCTACCATGAGGGGTTGGGAATAACTCAGGTCCTCATGCTTGTGTAGAAAGCATTTTCCTGAGCCATCCTCACAGGCCAGGCTCAGGGGAGTACAGAGCCCGAAGACCTCTGCACTGACTCACTCCCTTTCTCTAGATCGTGCTCCCATTACCTAGACAACGTGGTGCCCACCGAGCACATGAAGGCTAACAGTGCCACTAAAGAAGTGAGGCGTTTCATTTCGGAGGAATGGGGTCCATTTTCATCTTTCAAAAACGTGAATTGACACATAAGACATAAAAACTGTACCTATTGGGAGCTGAAGAGACAGCTCAGTGGTTAAGAGCACTGGATGACCCAGGTTCAATTCTCAGCACCCATACAGTGGCTTACAGCTACCTGTAACTCCAGCCCTAGGGAATCTGATCCCATCTTTTGGCCTCTGTGGACACCAGGCATGCACACAGTGAACAGACAAGCATCCAGGCCAAATACCCATCAACATAAAATCACAGTTACAAATGAAAGCTTGTACATAATGAACTGGGTAGATGGCTCAGTGGGTGGGGCACTTGCCATGCAAGTGTGAGGACCCAAGTTCAGATCTTGAGAACCCAAATAAAGACAGGCGTGGTTGTTGGGAGCCAGGCAATCCAAGGCTTTCCTGAGGCCCTGGTGTATGGAGAAGGAACATAGTTCCCTGTCTAAAACCATGAACATGCTTGGCACAGCCAGTAATGGCCTGGGAGCCGAATCTTGGGGGAGCTGCAATTTCAGATCCTGGGAATCTAACTCTTCCCCACTAAAGGGCTGTTCTTATCAGTTCAAGGACACCGTGTGCTCAGTCTGCGACACACTTGAGATATCTGGTGTCCCTTTTGTGCAACATTGCTTGATTAGCTCCCTGCTGACTTTGTCCCACTGTGGGATAGGTTTCTGTTGACTCTGTCCCATTTCCCCCTGCAGATAGTATATAAAATGCGGTGGTGGCACGTGCCTTTAATCCCAGAATTTGAGAGGCAGAGGCAGGTGGATCTCTGAGTTCGAGATCAGCCTGGTCTACAGAATGAGTTCCAGGACAGCCAAAACTATTACACAGATAAACCCTGTCAAAGGGAGGAAAGGAGGGAGGGAGGGAGGGAGGAAGGAAGGAAGGAAAGAAAGAAACCTCATGCAGCCCTCCTGATTTCAGCCGTCTGTCTTTATTTCCTCGTTCCTGGTCCTCCTCCTCAACACCATGCTGCTTTGAACCCTTATTCCTGTGGTTTGGGTCTCATGGTAGCACATGTCTGTAATCCCAGTACTTCTACACAATCCCAGCATTTCTACAGCGAGATGAAAGGAAGAATTCCCAAAAACTCATGGGCGAGCTAGCCTGGCCTACATCTGTCCAACAGAGACCATCTCACACAAGGTGGGAGTTAAGAAATGACACCTTGCCCTCTGCCCTCCACACCTGCATCATGGCACACGTGTGCTCACACTCTCACATACAAATAGGCACACACACCTCACATACACACACACACAGATTTTTAAAAATTGTACATGTTCATGTGGTTCCATGAAAATTCTGTTTGAGATAGGATTTCATGGCAGGCTAGCCTCAAACTCATAACTATCTCCTATCTCAGCCTCTCAAAGGCTAGAGTCACAGGCCTGTGCCACCATGCCTGGCTCCATGCAGAGTTTTATCATCATCATCATTATTTAAGAATTCATTTTAATTATGTTTGTGGAGGGATGCATTGAGTGCACGTGCCAGTGGAGGCCAGAAGAAGGCATTAGAATACCCGAAGATGGAGTTACAGGCTGTTGTGAGCTGTCTGCTATGGGTACAGGGACCTGAACTCAGATCAAAGACAGCTATCTCCTCACACTTTTATCCTTGCTTTAGGATAAAAACTCCCAAATCCTTGTAGGTTTGTTTGTTTCTTGTTTGCAGTGCTGGGGTAGTACCTTGGGCCTCCCTCATACTGTACAAGGACTCTACCAGCTGAGCTACATCCCCAACCCTCTTTCAAGAGTTTTGAAATGTACAGTTCCATAGTTGCGTTGGAAGAAGACTTGTGTATCATTCCCAAAGCCCTGAGTTCCTTCCCCATCACCACATAAAGCAGGCATGGTAGTGAACACCTGTAATCCCAGCATTCAGGAGGTGGAGATTGAAGGAAGAACCTTCAGAATTCAAGTTCATCCTTAGCTACATAGTGAGTTTAAGACTAGCCTGAGCTACATGAGTCCCCATTTCAAGAATAGACAGAGCAGGGGGAGAGGTAGGCCACTCAAAAGCTATAGAAAACAAACCCCTGAATCTTTTACCTTTACAAATCTGTGACCTGCCTCCCCTAAACCTTCCATCTTTTCCTCATGAGAGTACCGGAAATTGTTTAACAACTGAGTGATGGACAGGTCGTTCTAGCATGGTAAATGTTGTAGAATAATCTTTTTGTGAAGATGTGTCATTCTGATTGGTTTAATAAAAAGCTGAATGGCCATTAGCTAGGCAGGAGGTACAATTGAGACAGCCAGACACAGAGAATGATAGGAAGAAGAAGGGCAGAGTTGTCAGCAGACACACAGAGAGCAAGACATGCTGGAGGACAGGTAAAGGCATGAGCCATGTGGTAACACATAGATTGATAGAAATGGCTTAATTTAAATTGTTAAGAGCTAGTTAGAAACAAGCCTAAGCTATCAGCCAAGCTTTTATAATTAATAATAAGTCTCTGTGTTGTGATTTGGGAGCTGGCTGATGGGACAGAAAAATTCGCCTACAGTTCTATAGTCCATTGTGCTTCCTTTAGGCCCGCACTACTGGAGCCCCTGGGAGACTAAAGAAACAACAGGTCACATGGGGTGGTTTGAGAAGGACTGAGGAGATGGCCCCACCAGCAAATTGCTGGCTGGGCAATCATGAGGACCTGAGTTCAGATCCCCAGAACCCATGTCAAAAGCTGAATCCCATGCTTGGAATCCCAGTACTGGGAAGCAGAAATTGGCCGTCCCCTGGCATCTTCAAGTCAGTCAGCCAAGGCTACTTGATTAGCTTCAGGTCCCAGTGAGAGACAGCATCCATAAAACAAGATGGAGTCAGCAAGATGATTTCATGTAAGCCTGATACCTAAGTTTGATCCCTGAGCCCCACGGTGCAATTCTGAAAGTTGTCCTCTGACCTCCACACTTGCACACCCACACTCACACAAATAAAAAATAAATAATTTTAAAGAAACAAGAGATGACTCATCAGTTAAAAGTGATGTGTGCTCTTTTATTCCAGGATCTCTCTATGTAGCTCTGGCTGTCCTGGAGCTTGCTATGTTCAGGCTGGCCTCAAACTCACAGAGATCCTCCTGCCTCCTCTGCCTCTGCCTCCAGGATGCTGAGACTAAAGGTGTGCACCATGAATGTAAATCCAGCTTTCAGTGCTCTTTTAGAAACCTGGGTTCAATCCCAGCACCCACACTGAGCAGTTCATAACTGCCTGAAACTTCAGCTCTAGGAAATCTGATGCCCTCTTCGGGCCTCTATGAGCACCTGCACTCACCTGCATATACAGATAATATATATACAATAGATTGAGGAGAGTGCCTTCCTTATCCCCCACCCTGAAGGGTCCCCATGTCAGTACCCCATTAAGTCAACTCACAGCATGGGTAGCACAGTTGGCTGCGTGTTCATACTCTGTGGGCTGGTACCTCTTGTGTGCCGGGACTCGGTCATTCATAAACCTGCAATGAGAGGCAGAAAGAGTTTCAGAAAGACTGGATGAGGAAGCCAGAGTCCAGATTCTCACCCACACAGCTTTCCTTCTCTCTCCTTCCTTCAGTCTCGATTTCTGAGTACTGCAGCATTGTGTGTATGTGCTTGTGTGGTGCATGCGTATGTGCTTGCTTTTGTATTCACACACATAGGCCAGTAGCCGACATCGAGTGTCTGCCTCAATTGCACCCCTCCCTTTTTTTCCAGACAGGGTCACTTACTGAATCCAGAGCATGCCATTTCAACTAGGCTGGCTGACCAGTGAGCCTCAGAGACCCGCTTGTCTCCGGCCCCGCCCCACTTCCCACTGCAAGCTCTGTCATCACATGCACCTGCCTTTTACATGGGTTCTGGGATTTGAACTCAGGCCCTCATGCTTATCCAGCAGGTGCTTTACCTGGCAAGCCATCTCCTCAGTCCTAAGTAATAAACATCTTTTCCCACTAAGTGTTCCGTGTCTAATCCTCAATATGATGTTTACTTACTGGGGATGGGGAGACAACTCAGCTGGCTGAGTGCTTTCCTAGTGTGTGCAAAGCTCTGAGTACCACCCCAGCACCTCATAAACACACGTAATCACTGCACATGTGTAACCCCTGCACTTACGGGCCAGAGGCAGGAGGATCCTGAGTGCTGGGATTACAGATACACATCACCGCACCTGGCTCTTGCAGCACTGAATGGACCTCAGGGCTTCACGCAAACTATGCAAGCACATTACCACCAACTGAGCCACAGTTCTAGACTTAAATTTCTCTTAAAAATAAGAATTCCTGGAGCTGGAGATGGCTCAGGGGTTAAGAGCTCATATTGCTCTTGCAAAGGACCCAAGTTCAGATCCCAACACCCACATCACGCAGCCCACAACCCCTAGAACTCCAGTTCCAGGAGATCTGAGGCCATCTTAGCATCTCTGTACACCTGCATATATGTGTACACATACACACACATATGCACACATGCACGATAATAAACATTTGTGGTGCACGCCTTTAATCCCAGCTCTGAAGAGTCAGAAGCAGGTAAATCTATGTGATTTCAGGGCCAGCCTGGTCTACTCAGAGAGTCTCAGGTCAGTCAGGGCTACATATTGAGACCCTGTCTAATAAATAAATAAATATTTTAAAATAACAAGCATTTCTTGTGTGTTGGTTTATGGAACCCTCAAAATGTCTTTGCCTCCATACAGCACAGTTTGGAGCAGAGAAGTGACATCACCAGGTGGTACAAGACTTGGTCCCAGCCCAGCTGGCTTCTGAGCCTGGCTCTACCATGACATGAGTGTGAAGGGCATTTCAGTGAGCCTGGTTGACACTTGAGAGTCAGTGAGGTCAGGAAGAGGTGTCCCAGATCTTCGGATGGAAACACCTGTACACATCCGGCTCTCAGCCTAAAAGACAGAACCAGCAAGCTGTGCAGTGTTCTCTGCAGAATCTCGTTTCCCCTGGAGCTTCACCCAGCATCCTCCACCAGAGGGAGTCAGATGTCACCCAAAGACATCGAGCTCAGTCCCTCATGATTCCAGTTACACAGGCTGAGGAAATAAATGCTCAGTGGGTAAAAGTGCTTGCTGCACAACACAAGGACCTAAGTTTGACTCCTGAAGCACTCATGTGAAAAAGTTGGGTGTGGCTGTACACTCCTATAATGCCAGCACTGGCGGCGGAGGAGAGAGGACAGACAGATCCTGACATCTCACTGGCCAGTATACCTGAGCTTCTGATCTGATTCAGACACAGACCCTGTCTTAAGGTAACAAAACAGAGACTGATAGAGAAAAATTCTCAGGATCTTCCTTTGGTGTCCACATGCGTGTTCACACACATGTGAACACAATTATTACTGTGCGTTCCCCCAAAACGTATAGCTCAGAACAAAGACCTCTGGGCATCATGATTCTTTGAGGTTTTATTGAGTACCTGCTGGATCAATGCAAGGCCCTTGGAACATGTATATAGCACCTTCTGTTTGCCAGTACTCTCCTGATACAGTAAATGGAGCATTTGTGGAGCACCTTCTATATGCTGTCTGCAAGTCAGGGACAGCTCAGGGACCATTTATTGAACACCTTTTGTATACTGGAGTTGTGCTGGTAAATATGCTGGAGCTTTTGATGAGAAGCTTTCTGTGAGCCTGCTCTCTGCTACTGTAGTCCACAGAGCATTTATTGGATGCCTTCTGTAGGCTAGCTTCTGGAATGCCAGTGTGGCAAGACAGGGACAACGGCCGGAGGGAGGTGGTTCGGTGCTGGCCACATGGCTTGTTCTGGTGCTCCTGTGTCTGATATATGATGATACCTCCATGACTCCAGAGACCATGTCAGCTCCCCTGACCCACTGCTCTAACCACTGCTCTTCCACAGCATCCACGCCAGACTGCACAGTCCTGGTCACGTAATTCCACTGTCACATGGACAAGGGAACGCTGAGCTCATCAGACAGGTGAGAAAACTAAGGTGCCAGGCTGAAAGTCCCAGAACTTCTGGACCATAACAACCAACTCCCAGTGCTTTCCATCCCAGGAGCTGGGTGCCTTTGCAGGGGCAGATTGCAAACCAGACATGTGGGGGCTGGAGAGTTAGCTCAGCGGTTAAGAGCACTGGCTGTTCTTCCAAAAGACCCGGGTTCAATTCCCAGCATCCATATGGCAGCTCACAGCTGTCTATTAGTCTATCTCCAGTGGATATGAAACATTTAATGCAGCTGAAACACCCATACACATAAAAAATAATAATAATATTTTTTAAAAAGAAAGAAAACCAGGCACACATCTAGTGCAGATTATCTAAGCTGTTTGGGAAGCTGAGACAGGAGAGTCATAAGTTTGAGAGCTGCTGGAGATATAAAGTGGGGCTGAGACTAATCCTGGGCAACTTTGGGGGTTCCTGACTCAAAGCACAAAGAGGTTTGGAGATGTGGCTCAGTGGTAGAGTACCTGCCTAGAATCCCCCATTGAGGGGCTGGGGTGTGGCTCAGTGGTAGAGCACCTGCCTAGAATCCCCAGTGAGGGACTGGGGGTGTGGCTCAGTGGCAGAGCACTTCCTAGAATCCCCCAGTGAGGGGCTGGGGGTGTGGCTCAGTGGTACAGAACTTGCCTGGAATCCCCCAGTGAGGGGCTGGGGTGTGGCTCAGTGGTAGAGAACTTGCCTGGAATCCCCCAATGAGGGACCAAGGCATGGCTCAGCATATGCAAGACCCTAGGTTCAAACTCCAGTACCACAAATAAAATTTTGCAGAACAGTATAGAGAAGGACAACATATAAGGCAGTTGCAGGGAGAAGATGGCCTCATGTCACAGAGGCAAAGATGGGAGCAACATTTCTCGAAGCCACCAAAGATCCCAGAGCCTAGAAGAGGAGACCTCAGAACTAGAAAGAACAAGTCCTGCCCACACCTCGATCCTGGAAGTCAGCCCTCCAAGAACTGTGAAAGAATAACTCTGTGCCCAAGCACTGAGTGTAGGCTACTCCATTCCTGCGGGCAGATGACGCTGGCCCATGTCACAACAGGCGTGATAATTAGCTCTATCAAAGCCCCCAAGAAGCAATGACAATTGATGCGGCCACCAGCTGGTCCGAAAGTAGGTGGACAACTGAGAGACCCACAGGTGGGCAAGCTCATCACCCTCTGCAAGAAGGAGGTCCTGCACCTGTCACCAGGAGCCACCTTATCCTCTCCTGTGCCTTTAACTCCAGGCAAGCCACCCATGGTGCCAGCCATGCGGGTCCAGGGTGATGTCACGGTTGCCGTGGCGACCTGGGGCAGGCCGTTATTTATTTATTTCTGTCTTCCACAAAACTCCCCTTGTCTCTCCTTTAGGCTGTAGCTATTGAATGGAGGGTGATGGAGGAGGAAAAAAAGAGAGGCTTGAAGGTGGGGGGAGCATGCCTTGGCAAAAGCCCAAGAAACCATTCCCACCACCCCAAAGACCCATGGACTTTTCTTTTAACTCCTTGTGACCCAGTGCTTTTCTTCAAAAAACCTTAGGCAGGCATTTTAAAGAGCAACAAATTCACTTTTTGTGTTTTAATTTGTATACAATAAAAAGGTCTCCTGATTTTGTAACATGGTTTGGGGAGTTTTAATGGATTTTTTTGATCATGAACTCGTCATCACCCTTAAATAATGTAGCTGGCTATAATGATGCATGCCTGTAGCCCCAGGTCAGGATCAGGACATTAAGGGCAGCCTGAGCTACACAGTGAATTTGAGGTTAACCTGAACTACATGAGACCCTGTTTCAGAAAACCAATAGATGAGTCAAGACAAAGCACATTCTTAGGTGGAAGGGAGCTGTGCTTTGAATAGCAAACAATCTATGCAAATGAGTCAAAGAGGAACTTGTGTATGCAAAAGAAAAATGGACCACACTAAAGGAAACCTTAGGGCTGAGGATACAGCTCAGTGGTACTGCACTTGTCTAAATAACCCCAGTGAGGGGTGCAGGTGGGGTCAGCAATAGAGCACTTACCTATAAACCACTCCCCCCCACACCCAGTGAGGTTCTGGAGGTGTGGTTTGGCAGTAGACCACATGCCTAGTATGTATGTACCAGGCCCTGCTTTCTATCCCCAACACTGAAAAAAAATTCTTGTTAAAGATCATTTTGGTCATTTCTCAATTCTTTTGTCTCCTTTTCCCCATTACACAGCCTTTAAGTCAGGTTTTAACATTTAGTATAATGAATTTTACCTGCGTTGTTTATGCTCTTTCCTAATTTTTTAGAGAGAGAGTTTGAGTCAGGGTATCCGCGTGAGGGTCAGCAAACAATGTAAGAGTTGGTTCTCTCCTTCTACTTTGGGGGTTCCAGGACTCAAACTCACACAGCTATGCAAGAGCTTCTCACTGACGAGTCATTTCATTGGCTCAGTGTGTTGCTGTTTTATGAAGTTTTTTATTTATTTACTTTGTGTGTGTGCTTGCACATGTATGTAGAGGTTGATATCACACCAAGTCTGCACGTGGATGCT